CCAGATCCAGCACGCCCCTCAGAAGGGGAAGTCTTGCAGCACTGCCCTTGCAGATTAAGTGATGAGTCATTGCGGGCTTCAGTGCTTGTGCGCCACCCCCATGCATAAGTCACGAAAAGGTCTAGAGAATGTGTCCTCCTAAGGAGGTGAGAGAGGCCTGCAGCAGGTGGCCGAGCCCTGTGTGTCAGCAGGCTTTCCTGTGCTCCATCCATTCAGCCGTGAAAAGAGAAGCCAGCATCTGAGAGCAGGTTTAATGAAAGAGCTCTTTGTCGCTCGCAGCCAATTCGCGGGCTTTCCTCTCGTTGTTGGTGAGCCCGGCCCTGCCCTGTCTCCGTCTGGATTACTTCCTCCACCAGAATGAATGAGGTCAGAGGGCACAGTTGCAAACCCCTGGTTACTTTTGTGTACAGAGAAAGCTGGCCAGACCATATGCCTAACCCTTGCCCTGGGGAGAGCATGGAGGCGTCAACACGAAACTGTGCCCAGTAATGTGACTGCATGTATAAAACAAACAGAAACAGGCCTCTTAGAGCTTGAAGACCCAACCCGTGCTTTGATCTGAGTTCCTCCAATAAGTATGCAATTAAATGCTTACCCCATAACTGCTGTAACCTTTTATTTATAGCACATCATGAGTCACAGTCCTGGGCTGTCCCAGGATTATATGAAAAGGCTTAACACATAGATTTACAATAGTCGTATTTCTCCGTTATTCTACTTAAGTGTCATGTTACAATAAGCTGGGAGACAAATGAATTTACAGGTGCGTAAACACCACCTTTGTTCATTTATATAGAAATTATGGAACAAAATATGTATAGGTGAGAGCTAACAAAAGCTTTTCCCCTCTGCATGAAAATGTGACCTTCAATTAACCTTCCAGCTCTGTTTCTCTGGAAACCTGATAAAGGCAGCATGTCACCCGTGACACTAGGCAGCGTTGCTTCCGGTCAGAATAATCCCTGACTGGCAAACTGCATTTCAACTGAGACGATCCGAAACAGACCTGGTAGGAAACCGCGTCTCTGGGCTGTGCCTCGTGCCGCCATCCTCGTAGCCGGGCACAGGCTTTACGGGGACCCTGGGACTCGTTCCCGTGGAGCTGTTATAAGAGCTATTGGCCCTTGTGGCTTTGAAGCCACGGAGACCCCTGCACCTGCCTGACCTGGTCTTGACCCCTTGTACCAGCGCTGTCTCCTGGGGGCCCTGAGAGACCCGCTCTGGCCGCCACGTGGACCACCGCGAGAGCCCCTCCTTCCGTGACGGCAGGAAGTCCCCGGTGCTGCCCCGTAGCTTTCCAAGTAAATGCGGCCGGAGCTGCGGCCGGGAGTCTCGTGGGCCAGAAGGCAACCTCACTGCATAAATAAATGCGCGCGCGTGCATGCCTGCGTGCGTGCACATGCGTCACGTATGCAGTATATAGTATGTATATGTGTACGTGCATTGTATTGTATTATATATACTGCGTAGCTATAATACTATATACAGTATGTGTGTATATATATATACACGCACAGTATGTATATATATATGTGTATATATTTTTATATGCATTCTTTGTTTTTGTTTGTAATTCTGTTTCAGTTACCGTCGGGCCTCCAGAAAACATTTGGGTGACCCCAGGAAAACGCTCCCTTATCGTCATGTTCTCCCCTCCGTTTGACGTCGACGACCCCTCCATGGCCACTTTCTCTTATTATGTCCGTTACTGGGAAAAGGGAGGAATCGAACAGGCAAGAGCATTTTTTCGTTGTCGTTGTCTTGATTTTCTTGTCTTGGAGTTTCCGACTCAGCAAAAGAAAGTAAACTTTAAAATGGACAAGGAGAACAGGCTGTCCCAGTATCAGCACCTCAGGAGTCTGAGACCTAATCTGGTTTCAAGTCACGTCTTCACGACCTGTTTTTCTCCTCACCGTGCTGAGAGTTCCCTCTCTCCAGGTCCACCTGAGCGGCCCCTTGGTCTGATGTCATCTAGGGTCCAGACTTTGCCTTTGACACTCTCTGGAGTTTGAAGAAGGTTCTAGTGGGCTTATTTCTACAACAAGGAATCCGGCACTGCAGTCTGCAAGGCTTAACTATGTCAGCTTCTCTGGTTTGGACAGTTTACAAAGCGGGCACAGACGAATAGGTGAGAAGTATCCTGGGAGGAGAGACTGTGTTCTAGGGAGAAGGCCCAGCGGGTGTGCGAAGGCCTGGCCCATTTGGAGAGCTGTAAGCGTGTGGATCTGTCAGGAACACCCACGGGGCAAGGAGGGTTGACAACGATGGGTCAGACCAAAGGAGCCTGGTCAGCCCCAAATAGCACTGGGACAAAACGATGGCTTTCAGTCATCGCCAGTGCCTGATTGTCCAAGTTGCATTCAATGAGGTTCCATTATCTATGTGAGCTTCATGATGTCCTAATTTCAACATTGTAATAATTTTTACAACGCTAGTAACAGTTTATGTTTACCAAGGGCTTCCTTTGTGTCTGGCACTGGGCCAGATGTTTTAGCTACATCCTCTCTCATTTAATCTTTATACCAACCTGTTCCAGAGAGAGAAACAGATAGTTAAGCACCTTGCCCAAGGTCAGCCGCTGACAGCTAGCAGAGTGAGACATCTACCCTCAGGGCGAATGCTCTCATTTGCAGTTTTTCTGTCACATAGTTTATATTTGCACTTTTTCTTCATCTCTTTAGGGTGAGTCTAAAATCACTGAGGAAGGCAAAACTCATGAAAGAGCTCATGATGGAGTCAGTGGCTCATTTGAGCTCATGATGGAGTCAGTGGCTTCACTCCATTGAATCGGCCCCCAGAGGGCAAGTTGGTATCATAGTTCTGGACAGGGCTGCCCAGTGCTGGAGGACTCAGCCTCCAGGACACTGAAACCAGACTCACTTGGCGGTGTGCCCTAATGAAAAGTGCATGCACGGATCACACTCCGCCACCTGGAATTAGCTTGATGTCACTTAGCCATTCTAGGCTGCAGTTTCTTTTTCCGTCAAGTGAAACAGTTGACATAAGGCGGAATCCGTGAAGACCCCAAGTCCCTTTTCCCCTTTCGATCGGAGCTTCCAAACTTTGAACAAAAGACTGTAGGGCTAAAAAGTTACTCTGAAAACCACCAGTATGATCTCCATCCACGCTGTGAGGCTGTGTCCCCAAGAGCAACCCTTAGATTTGCTCAAAGGACTTACAGAACTAGGCTTATTATAGTTGGACTCATGTGATTTATGACAGAAAAGAAACACAAAGCAAAATCAGCAGAGGGAAGATGCTCATGGAAAATTCCAGAGGAAAGCAGGCGCGAGTTCCTGACTCTCCTCCCAACAGACTCACACGAGGCACACTTAATTCTCCAACAACAAGCTGTAACAATATGTGACATATCATCGACCAGGGCTTTTACTGGGGACTGGTCACATGGGCAGTCCTCTCCCAGGCACAGATCAAAATGCCAGGCTCCCAGATGGAAAGCACGTCTTCAGCATAAAAAAAACATTGTTGGTACAATAAAGCACCCCCTATCAGTGAGGGAATGGTGGGACCTGCTGAAATGCAGGTTCCCAGGGGCCAGCCGTGGGCCAGCCCTGCAGGCAGGCCTTTCCTTCCAAGGACAGCCGTCTCGGGCCTGAGTGTGGGCTCTTCTCTGCAACCTGTGATTCTAAATTTCAGAAACGCTAACCAGCTGCCGACATAAACCCAAACGGAATTCTGTCCTTCGAATCGCTTAATGTGGCAGTCCGAGCAAATTTTTTTTTTGCCTCTGCCCTGGGAACCCATCAGCATTAAACAGAAGAAAATAAAATTAATAATCACCTGTAATCCTACTATCCATAAATAATACAATTATTTTGTATTTTTTAAAATAAGATCGGTACTCTAAAATGAGATTAATAATCTAAAATAAGATGAACAATCTTCTTTTCAGTCAATACTATAGCAGCTTCATCTCTCCACGTTACTGAGCATATGTTCTACCACAATTTCAAATGGCCACAGTATAGTCTACTGTCTCTCAGAATTAGAAAGCAGTCTTTTATAAGAAGTCCTATATTGCCATAATGTAGTATATCTTTCTCTTGTTTACCTGTGGAACAATGACAGCATTGTCCAGGACAAGAGGGAGAAGCCAGTGACTTATGTGGAGGTGACAAGGCCTCAGGGAGGCAGCAGCAGGGAGGTCGAGAGGAGACAGGATCCTCTGAGAATGTGGGATCCCGCTGTTTACGGATCACATAAATTGCCGAAGTCATTTTGACTAAAACTCTGAAAGGAATCAGCACGTTTTAAGTCAAAACCAGAAGCAGGTTGGGAACTAAAGGCACATTTTTTTCTAGAATGATTTTTTTTTTCCTCTGTTGACGAACGTGAAGTATCTACATTAGCTTAACCATGAAAAACAAAGTGTTCATTTTAAAGGACAAAATGCCCTCTGAGAAGTTTGCTAAATTCCAGTTTTGGACCCTCCGTGGCTGCCTTGGGTCCTCAGTGGGCCCTCTGAGGCCTCACAGCCAGAAACAGCCAAAAAGCCATCACACATATAAAATGTGTCCAGTGTAAGCCAGTGACTCCTTAAAAACAGAAACTCCTTATTCTTTGGTTGCATGTCCACTGTGAATTTGAGGAAACGTTGAAAAGTTGGAAGTGGCTTAGCAGTATCTGTTTGGGTCATTTACATGTGTGGCTGTTGGTGGTTTTCACATAGGTCAAAGGCCCCTTCAAGAGCAACTCCATTGTGCTGGATGATTTAAAACCTTTACGAGTATACTGTTTACAAGTCAAGGCCGAACTGTTTTGGAATTCATTCAACATCCGTAGACCTGGGCATTTTAGTGACGTAACTTGCCGCGAAACGACAATCGATGGTAAGCTGTGCCCTCTCGTACCCTTTCTGAGCTGGGGAAAGAATACTCCTCAGAGAGCGAAACTGGGGGGCTGACACGAGGCGACGGGCAGTGGGAGTGGGGAGACCCAGAGAGAAGGGAGAGAGGAGAGAGCTCGTAATTGTTGGTATCACGAGCTTGCGTCCAGAGGTCCAGTAGCAAAAGCTGAACGTTTGCTTGATTTTAGGACTGCCTTACTAGCTGCTAATTTAAATATATGGTGTGGGGAGGGGGCTGGTATCTGTCCGTTTCACTGGGACATGAATACTTTTTAAGCGGTTGGCAGATGAGAAGTGACCTGATGTTTGTATCATGCATGGGATGGTCCCTTTTTTCACTTTTACGTCATCTTGTTAGCCTCCACCAAGCTTCAACAAGACGTCCTGATCGCCATAGGAACCTTTCTGGTGCTGGCGATGCTGGCAGTGCCCTGTCTCTTCCTGGTCCTGAAATACAGAGGCCTGATTAAGTACTGGTTTGAGTCTCCACCAAGCATCCCTCTACAAATAGAAGAGGTATGTGTGCGTCCATCTAAATAGGTGACGTGTCATCACGCCACAGCCCTCTGGCAATACCTAGGGGTTCGGCAGTGGACAAAGCCACGGGCACAGAGGTTTTAGTGGTACGGGGTTATTTGTACGTTCACGTTCATGGCAGCATCATTCACAACAGCTGAAAGATGACAACAGCCCAAATGTCCGTCAACAGACGAATGCATAAACAAATGTGACACACACATAACGATGGAACGTTATTCAGCCTTAAAGGGGAAGGCGACTCTGACGCATGCTTCAGCCTGGAGCAACCTCGGGGGCATTATGCTAGGTGAAAAAAACCAGTCACGGAAAGACAAACACCGTCTGCTTCCGCTCATATGAGGTCCTTAGAGTGGCCAGGTTTGTAGAGACGGTGGAGCACGGTGGCGATGTGGAGCCAGCATTAACAGTTTCAGCTTTGCTCTGGAGACGGATAATAGTGGTAGCGGCACAACAATGTGAATATACTTTACTGAACCATACGCTTAAAAATGGTTAAGATGGTCGTTTGTACGGTATATGTCTATTACCACAGTTTTTTTAAAAAATGGTGATGGCACGAGGTTGGGCAGACCAGGGGCCTGGCCTGGCCACGGGCTTGGCGGCAGGAGGCCCCCCCTCTGGAGACAGCACGCCAGTCCTGTGATTTTTAGAGAGCGCCCCCCTCCCCTCCAGTGGAGCCTGGCGGGAGGGGGCAAAGGCCGGAGAGACAGGGGCAGACGGTGTGCGCTTCATAGGAGCCTGGAGTAAACGCACACGAGCCGTGAGCACACGAGGCCTCGCACACCAGGTGCTCAGTGGGCGGTACCAGTGTCGTAAGGGCCTTGAGAAAGAAGGATGAAGTGGGTCTCGGGCAAAGTCTGCTTTTCCTGCATGGCCCCAGACCCCCAGGGCATAGTGAGGGGAGCCGGCACTCTGAGGACACAGTGGGGACATGCTTCCATCAGAAGCCAGCCGATAGGAGAATACTTGAAAGTATCTGCTTCTGGAGGTTTAGCATTTCTCAATAAAATCGGGTTAAAACTGAAAACCTGTTTCGTTGGAAACAGTCGTGCTCTGTCATCTCTAGAGTGCGTCGATGGTAGGTGAGGCAAGTCTGTAAAGGTAGAGTGGTGCTTTCAGAGAGAGCTGCGGCCCCGTGTTTTCCCTCATCTGTCACCAGGCCTTCAAAGTACGCGGGCACGGTACAAGTGACCTGTGAAATTCCTTCCCGGAACCTCCCTACAAATACCGCATGATTCCACTTGTAAAAGGGATTACAGCAGTCAGACCCACAGAGACAGAGTGTCAGACGGTGGTTACCGGGGGGCTGGGGAGGGGGAGCAGGCAGTTGCTGTTCAACGACTATCAAGTTTCAGTTCCGCAAGATATAGTAAGTTCTAGAGAACTGCTGTGTGCAGCACGGTGCCCGTAGTGAGTGCCTTGTGATGCTCTCAGAACCTCGTAAAGCGGGTAGAATCCATGTGAAGAGCTCTCACCACAAAACAAAAACAAAACGAAACTTCCCCACTTCATATCGTTACTGAATCACAGCTCTCGAGGGGTCTCAGGGTTTTACTAATAATCTCCCTCACGCAGTAGAGCGACCTCTGGACTCTAGTAAAGCGAACTCTACGCTTAAAAATGGTTAAGGTGATTTAATTTACCTCTAGTGGTTTTTTTGCGGGGCTTGAATCTTAAAACATGAAGTCTTTCGGTTCTCTTCCCTGGGAAAGTGTGAAAAATCCATATCAGAGGCCACTGAAGCTACCTGAGAATAACGAATCCTGTTTCACTTAGCTTTTCGAGGTTTGACAAGTGCAAGTGATTCGTTGTTGTCCCTCATTGAGACAGCTGGTTCTAAGCTGGCCGTATTTCAGTATCTTTCTGCATTTCCAAGGGCCAGCTACTGGGCGCTTGGTAACCTGGTGAATTGATGGCCAAGTGCAAAGCAGAGGCTGGAGGGAAAGCAGAGTTGGGCTCGGTGAAACGTCACCAGCGTCGAGGCCCTTGGCTTTCCCGCGGACCCACCACCAGCCCCCAGGGCCCTGCCGGCCACCCCTGCAGGCCACGTTCTCTGCTCATCCCATGTTCTGTGGCGTCAGGGTGACCAGTGGGCGGAGTGGCTGAGAAAAACACTCGTGAACTTCTCTTGGCCCCCATTGTAGGTGAATGAGAGGTCCTGTTTCTCTCCTTCACCGAAAAGTTCGAATCTCAGAGACACTTTAGGATTAGCGATTCACAGGCACCGAGTGCACAAGTCGGAGCTCGCCCTCCCTGAGTGAGATGCCCCATTCCGCCTTCGGGTGTCACCGCCCGGGCCTTGGATTCGTATGGGCGGCTGCGAGATGTGGGGGAGGGGGAGGCGCTTTGAGACGGGGTTGCGTTGGCGGACGGAATAGGTAGGAAGTTATACCTGAATAAGACGTGGTGGTGCCGGCTAAAACTAAAGTGCGAGGTCTGCTATTCTGAACTGATAAACTAATTACAATATTGGTTTTCACCCCTTTCAAGTATTTAAAGGACCCGGCGCAGCCTATCTTAGAGGCCCTGGACAAGGACAGCTCACCAAAGGATGACACCTGGGACTCTGTGTCCGTCATTTCATTTCCAGAGAAGGAGTGAGACGTCCTCCAAACCACTTTGACCCAAAGTGCCGGTCTGGGAAGAGGACGTTGAGCCACTGAAGCTGCTGATGTACCCCTCAGGACTTTTCGGAGCCCGGGACTCCATGTCTCCATTGCAAAAAGGACCGTCGGTGCCTGGGGACAAGTAGTGGGGTCTCGTGGGGGAGACGAGCTTATTTTTTTTAAAAAGAAATTTCTAATGATACAGTTTTCTAGAATGATTCTACAGAGATATCCCAGGAAATTTAAGGTTTATCTTAAACACTAAAAAGGCATGTAATTATTTGTTAGCAAAATGTCTCCGGCGTACCTCTGATATTCTGTTTCTCGTTGGTCGGACTGGGCAGTGAGGGGACCCAGTCCTCTCCTTGACTCTGGCAGGTGAGCTGTGGCCCCCTGGGCAGGTCACACATCCTGTCCCTGCCTGTTCCAGCCAGAGACACTGAGCAGAGCCCTTCACATCCAGTCTCCCAGCTTACAATGTGATTAGTCCTGTGAATATTTTCCGAGTAATTTAAAGGGTTTTCTTCAGGCTAGTAATAAAAGACTGTAGAATTAACTTTTTAAAAGTCTGTGTGAAGTTTTTCCTCACCACTTTGCCTTCTTATTTTGGCCTGTTCCCTGCAAAGTTTCAACTTTTTAAAGTTACTCTATCTAAACCTTTGTTTTCTTACCTAACACCCAGTAGAGCTA